TTCTCTGGAGGGACGCGCGCCGCTCTCACTGGAGGGAGGCGGGACTCGTCGTCGTTTGTTCAGCTGCCTCACGCTTATGCTGCCATGAGCTGCCGAACGCTGAGACGCGGTGGGTGACGGCTGCCCGCGTTTGATTCGGTGAGGCGAGTGTCGCTCTTGTGAGAGCGAGGACCTCCACCTGACCCAGCCTGCGGTCCACATTTATACCGATGTGAGCCGGTGAGCACCGGGCAGCTGTGTGTGTGCGCCAACATCAACGCAACGCCGTTGGATGGAGGCTGTTTCATCCCACGAGTGCGAGTTTGACACCGCTTGGGTGAAGATCGTGCCGCTCGGGATGATAACGAGTTATTTTCGCTTACCATTGTGTCGTGTGATTGACTCGTCATGTCTTGGAGCGACGGTGAGTTTAAAAAACCTTTATTTAAGGACACCGTCTCGTTATGTGTGGAGGATGTGTGCGCAGCCGCTGTGAGTTCATCCGAGCTTACAAACTGGCTAAAAACAGACACTTTGATCAATGAATGATGATTTGTTTCAACTTTCGTGTCACTTTTACGCACACCCTCCGCAGACCGTCATTTTTTAAAACTTCTCCCCCTTGAGCTCTGCGATTTGTTTGCCCAGAGCGCTGTCTTGCAGGCGAACTCTGGGGAAACGCTGAACTGCAGGTTGCCGGAATGAAGAGGGCTGGATTCTGACAGGCGGGGCTGGTGGTGGAACTGAGCGAGAGCTGCGGCCGTGGAAACGTCGATGCTTTGCTCGCGACGGTCCCTCCAGCGGGCCGGGGGGCGGGTTGAGCCGTGCGGCTTGATGAGGTGGCGCACAGCCTCTGGCACCTCCTCCGACTGCTTCAATTCGCCAGCATGGTTTTGAAGCTGCTCTCGAACAGCGCGTCCGCCGTGATGGGCCCTCCATCAGGTCTTTGTGCAATTTCTCCGGCAGCAAGGGAGAGTAACGAAACCAGGTGGATCGTTGGATCATCGTCATCCACGCTGCAATCCTCGACAGGCAAACCGTAGAAGAGGCACACATGTTGAAGATGACGTCTGCTGCCTTACAGAGGGAGTTCTTTGTCTCCAAGGCAGGTCTGCGGCCTTCAGCCCCTTGGACATGCTATATGCTAGCAGCGCCACGTTGTTGCTAGCTGCGGCTGCCTGAAAGCACATTGATGGGCTCGATTGGAGAGCGTGGTCACCGTCTGGTTCGCGTTTCTCCGGAGGGACGGGACGCTGCTCTGACCTGGACAGCTTCGCTCCGAAGCTTCCGCGAGTCTTGGCTCCAGGGGGGTTACCGAGGGATAGCCCCGCTCGGTGACCCCCTCTACTCTGGTGATGGGTGCAGACTGGGGACCGACTCCCCCAATCTACCAGGAAAGAACCCGTCTGTGGCCTCGCCCGTAGGACGTCCTGTTGGGAGCACGAGGCCATATGGGTCAAGACGGTGAGCCGGAATGGAGCCCAGTAAACAACCTTCCCGCCGGATCATCCAAACTGGCGGGAAAGGCGTCGGACGTAAAAAAGGGTCCTTTCATGTCAGCCTCCTCCTGGGTTATGCCGGGCAACCCCTGAGGGCGCCGTCGGCCGGGAGTGGTGTGATCGCCGATGCGAAAACGAGGTGGGATGGGGTGAGCATTCACTCAGCCCCCCTCCACCGACACTACGCTCCCCAGGAGGGAATGAGCAGCGGGGGCTGCAGCTGAGCACGCCTGTCCCGGAGGAACCATCCGATTCGCTCCGAGGGTCGGTGATAAGAGGAAAAAATACAAGATGGCGTTGTCCAGCGTGTAGTGACCTGTCACTGGGAAATATTCCTCGGCGCTTACCTTGGAATAGGACTGCTCGTCATCTTCTCCTCGGGGAGGAGAACTCACCGGACGACCGGAGGTCGACTGCCGGGCCAAGCATCCTTAACAAAGGTTGGTCATCTACACAATTTTCCTTCTTTGTTCTTCCGACAGTGCTATTTTAGCTCGCTGAAGAAAAAATGGGAGCCGATTTCCCGCTCTTAACGTAATTTATATGGACCGGGTGGGGCCCACACAGCAGGTGGGCGTGGACTAAATTTTTTCAGTGCTTATGCTGCGCATAACGGGATAAACCCATCAGCGACAGCCTTAAAGGGTGAAGCCTATACGACATAGAACATGTTTCTTTTTATTCCTATTTTTCAAGTGGATATTAAAGTGATTAATTTAAGTGATTGTTTGAAGTTATTTTATATTTTATAAGGGGCAGATATAAGAATTATTTTTCCTCTTTCTGCACTCTTTTCATTCAACATTTTCTTTTTGATGATTTTTTTTTTATTTTGTTTCATTTAAATGAATGAATAAATGAATTAAATTAAATAAAATGTTAAATGGCTTCAAACATCTGCTAAGTTCATGGCATAAACCAACAGACACGTTCCTGTTTTTAGTATTTGACATCACTTTATAATGTAGCTGTTTTTGTTTTTAATATAATTTTCAAATCATGTTTTTTATGATTGTCTACTGTTGTACTGATAAATATCTCCTGGAGGGTAAACTATATCTTGGCTGCAAGTATCAAACTGTGAAATCCTTCATTTTCTACAACTGATAGTGGTTGGTCATTAATTATAAAGTTTAGCAACTTCTCTGTAAACATTTGAGCTCCGTGGTTTCAGCGATGTCTTCTTGTTCAATCTGAAGCGGGCAGCCTGATTTGGGTCAGCCGCGCTCAGTCTGTCCCTCCTCAGAGACGGGCAGACTGAGCGGGGCAGATTGGATGCGACTGGCCGAGGTCGAGTCACCTCTTTCCGGTTTGATCAAAGAGTAGTGCCCCGCTGAAGCCACGGAGCTCGAATGTCCAACATAAAACTAACTTTAACGTGGTTTAATGTGGCGCTATGGCTCTGCAGACATTGCACGATGCTGTCTTGTGGTGTTTTTAGTGTAAAATACTTCCACACAGCGGACATGTTTAGATGAAAAGTTGGTTAGCTGTTAGCCACAGTGCTGCTAACTCAGTCCTCACGTTGTAGCTGGCTGCAAACTATGAAATGGATTTCCTGAATGTGAGGCGAGTCTTATTACTCTGGGTTCATGAGACACGCCGCTGTTCAGGAAATCCATTCCATAGTTTGAAGCCAACATGCATCATGGATCAGAAAAATCCAATACGTAAATTATGCTGGTATCGGAGGCTGATACCGATCCTGGATCGGATCGGCCCCATCCCTAATTAGCACACTGATGGCTGTTTACTATTCACAGGGGAATAGTAAACCTGTGAATAGTAAACAGCCATCAGTGTGCTAATGATCCATTGTTAGGCTGATGGTCCTTCTTGACCATGTGAGCAGCTGGTTTTGGTTGTCAGCAGCAAACTGGTTGATCCACTCTGAGAAGGTGCTATTTAAAAGACTGAGCTGAATACAGCACCTCAGACTGAAGAAGTCTCTCGGATGAAAGATGAAACGTTTCTACATTTTTTTGCTTTGTTTTGTTTTTTGTTTTTTTGAATGTCCAGAGGACCAGAATTAACTTTTTTGGGTCAATTAAAAAATACGTTATTAATCCCAAAGGGAAATTATTTGTTGTTGTAACTCGTTATTCTCATTTCATTAAGAGATGTTATAGATACTGATGGCTGTAGGCAGGAAGGATCTCTTGTAAAGGTCCATCCCACAGTGGATCCTAAGAAACTGGCCGCAGATGCCGTCTAATCCGTCCACCCAGACTCGGCTGGCCTCTCGGTTCCCCCGGGCTGTAGGACCGCCTGAATGCTGGGCAGAACTCCTCCCAGAGCGATGGCCACTCCTCCCAGCAGTCTGCCGAGCTCCTCGTTGCTGCGGACAGCCAACTGTAGGTGCTGAGGGATGATCCTGTCCTTCCGCTGTCATGAGCCGTGTTTCCTGCTAGTTCCAGGATCTCAGTGGTCAGGCACTTGAGCACAGCTGACAGGTAGATGAGAATGCATCCACAGAACATCCTTTCAACTCATTTGAAATTTGGGGCTGTAGTTGAGATATTATTTGAGCTTTTGAGATGTTAATCAGCTGCTGTTGGTTGTAGAAAACTGCCTTGTTGCCATGGTTACACATCATAACAAACGCCCAAAACTAAAAATATTTTCAGTACAAATCCTTCCAGCTGCACAGCATCTGATACCAGAGGAAACAATCATCCAAAAAATGTGATTTACATCCAGAAAAGAGGAATTAAAGATTCCAAAAGCAAAATCTCAGAATGAAAGTAACAGAGCTGCTCCAACATGCAGCCATCTTGCGTGGCACAATTCTGAGGTCCCTGGTTCAAACCCCTGTATGGGGGTCTTTCTGGGTGGAGTTTGCATGTTCTCTCCGTGCCTGTGTGGGTTTCCTCCAGATACTCCAGTTTTCTCCCACAGACCAAAAACATGCATGTTAGGCTGATTGGTAACTCTAAATTGTCCCTAGGTGAGAGAGAGAGAGTGAATGGTTGTTTGTCTCTATGTGTCCCTGTGATGGACTTGCGACCTGTCCAGGGTGTACCCCGCCCCTCGCACAGTGATTGCTGGACATGGGCACCGGCGACCCCCATGATCCAAAATGGAATAAGCGGGTAAAGATAATGGATTGATGGATGGATATATATATATATATATATATATGTATATATATATGTGTGTGAATGTTTCTGGCAGCTGTGGCTGAGTGGTTAGAGCAGTCGTCCTCCAATGGGAGAGTTGGGGGCTCGATTCCACCAGCAGTCACATGTTGAAGTATCTCTGGGCAAGACACTGAACCCCTCTTTGCCTCCGATGTGTCACATAGATGTATAAATGTGATTTAAAGCTCTGATTAGTCTCTACAGATTCAGATTAGCTTTGTCTAGATCTAGTAGAGTGCTGTATGAAGGGGTAAATGAGCACACAGATTGTGTTGTAAAGAGCTCTGAGTATCTTGATCAGATAGAAAGGTGATATTTAAGTACAGTCTATTTATCTTTTTTCAGCTGCTCCCCTCCTCAGGGGTCGCCACAGCGAACTAACTCATATGAAGACTTGAGAACTGTTTTTATGCTGGATGTCCTTCCTGACACAACCACAGACCACCGAGCTACCATAGCCCTCTGTGTGAAGCAGAGAGCTGCCATCTAGGGCATCCAAGGGAGCAAATGGTGGGAGTTAAGGGCCTTGCTTAGGGGCCCAGGGTGGGGCAAATGAGGGTGGAGGCAGGTGTGGGTGCTTCACCTTTCATACCCACATTTTGATGTTGTTGGTCCAGGGAGTTGAACCGGCAACCTTCTAATCACAGGCCCACCTTCTTTAACCTCTGTGCCACCACTTACTCAAATATAAGACAAGTACTACTACTACTAATAAAATAAAATAAAATAAAATACTACCCCTGCTCTTCTCCAGAGTGTAACTCCTCCCACATGAATGTCTTGCAAGAAAACATGAAGGTTTTACTGTCAATACAATTTGATCTGTCTGGTGGACTCAGTATCTCGTCCTTTGAGTTGAACGTCTCGTTACTCAACCCCCCCCCCTTCCTTCCCCCAGCTTCTGATATTTAATTAGTATTTTTGCTTGAAACACCCGTCCCTGATGGCGTATGAAGGAGATCAAACCTGTTAACGTTGGACGTGATTATGCTCTTGACAGGTGTGCTCTTCGGACCAGGAGCAGGATAAAATACTGGCTCCTGATTGGCTGCTTTGGAGCGGTGACCACCGTATGGCTCAGCAGAATATGAGGGATACGCACCAAACGTCCCCGCCTTCATTCCTCCACTCTAATGCACAAAAAGCAGCAATAATAATATAATGAAATAAAACAAGCAAACATCAGATGTTAAGTGTTTCTGATACGATCGAGTAACGAGTCACCTGTTTGCTGGGAGACGAAGGTTTGAAAGGAACTGAAAAGTCATTCTTTTGGAGTGGGAGGGGCTTGTGTGCAGGTGGGAGGGGCTTGTCGCTGCGATATGGATTGTGTTGGAAATAATCTTGTGGGTGAAAGTTGCTCCTGAAAGGGCCATCTCTCAGCTTGGAGCGATGGATCGCTGCCTGCCTCTAAATGACAGATGTCACATTCAGTTATATTCAGACGACTCACGCTCCCCAGTGTTTGAACGAATACTTTTGTTGGTGCACGTCACAGTAAAACGCTCATTGTTGTTCCATGATTTGTGTTAAATCTTGTTCACACTAGATGACAGTCCCAACACAAAGTAATCATCCAGAACATGAATAGTGGTGGTGAGACATTGACCCAGTGGGCTCCACGTGCTGGGTCCATGGAAACAAACCTTATATAGTGACATCACTGTGGTTCAGGTGTAGCTGGTTCATGAGGGCAGGTGGGGCTCAGCCTCGCCTAACAAAAGACACTTCGCCCTCCAAGTAGTTCCCACTAATAAATAATATAAGTAATTATCTAATTATTTTCTGTTCAGGAAGTGAGAACGGGTCAGAGCCTCAGCAGGTGAAATCATTAAGTGTGAACATTGATCTTCTGTGACTGCTGTCTGTTCTCCACAGCTCTGTGATAAATCTCATCAAGTCTACACCTGGTGGTTTTGGGAATCCCTTTTTTCCATGACGCACTTCTTCAGTTTTTAAGTTTTTAGAAATATTTTGCAGAAGTTTTGTCCCTCTCTCATTTAGCTTCGTTAACCCGGGGTTTTATTGGGAAATTATTGTTTCAGATCTGTCTGTTTTGTTTTATACAGTTGAACTTGAAAATATATCAGATGTTGGTGCAGGAGGCGTCTCTGTTTTAACAATGCACAACCTTGACCTGCGTGATGGAGGGGGAAAAAAAGAGACAATTTTGTTCTCAAAAAAGCAGCAAAAAAAACCCCATTAAACAACTATAAGCAGTTGATAATTGGTGACCGGTGTGTTTCTTTTGTTTTCATAAACCAAGTGTGGGTCAGAACCTGGGTCTGTTGAGTCTTTTGTATCTTATGATTAGATTTATGTGTTGAGGTATGTGACTTGTGTTTTCATTTAATCAGTTCTTTGTGTTTCCCTTGTCATGTGTCAGCCTGCCGCACCTGCACCTGCGCCTGCGCCTGCACCTGCACCTGCACCTGCGCCTGCACCTGCACCTGCACCTGCGCCTGCGCCTGCTCCTGGTTTCACCTGTCCCAGCTGGAGCCACTTCCCGGCTCTTTTGTTTACAATAAAGTTTAGTTTTATTTTGAGCTTCTCGTGTTTTGTCTGCATTCTGGATCCACCCTGCTGACTGACAGAGGGATCCAAACGCGCTGAGCATCTTCACTCTTTTCCACTCAAGTGAATCTATTTACATTAATGTTCTGTTTGTTTAAGTTGCACATCTTTTGCAAAGGGAGATTTGCACCTTGAACTTGACTGTCAGCCAAACAGGGATGCTCTGCACAAGCACAGTTTATTCTCATTTAATAAGTTTAATTTATTGGGAACTGTCCATTTTTATGTGACTGACTGCCATGGTAAAACATGTCTGACTTTTAAAGGTTTTTGGGTTTGTGACAAACATCTAGCATCAATATATTTACCACGTCCTGAGGGCCTGAGGTAAATGAACCTAAACAGAAGAAACAATAAAAAGGAGCAACATGCTGCACAGCTGCCTGCACAGCATGTCAGGAGAGGTCTAATTCATCCTCTGACCCAACCATGAGGGTCAGATATTGTTGCATCTAATAAATTATCAAATAAATGCAGAAAAACTAATATTATTAAGTATTAAATGAAAATAGGAGGATCCAGTGAGGATAAATAAAGCACAACATGTCTCCAGTCCATCCTGAACTTGGTTTTTATCTGGTCCGGTTACATGTTCATACAATTTTAAGGAGTGTATTAATACTTCCTTTCAGATCTGGAGTTGATTGTGAGAAAACATTTTCTTCTTTGTGTCACGGTTATTGTTGTGTCTGTGGATGAAAGTTACATTTAGTTAAAGAAAGAAGCTGTGAAGTCCTGAATCGAGGGAGACAAAGTTTTCTTGGTTCTTTTTGATTACAATCAACAAATGCAGCATTAAAATTCTTGTTTTTGTGAAACTGGCTCTTTTTGAGCTCTTTTTTTTTTTTTTTTACCTTAATGTGCACAAGAACAAACTTGTGACTCAGGACAAACTCCCAACAGTTGCACAATGATTTGTCACAGCAGTGGGTCAACAACATGTCACGCCAAATTCAGGATTTTTGTTTGAACCATAATTCATCCTCTTGAGACAGTCACTGAGCCCTGCGATCATTTATTATTTTAAAATTATTTTGAAGACAATCTTCTCCTCACACTTGTCATGTAAAGTGAATGAAAACCAAACGTGGACTTAAAGCGAAGACACAAACCAGAAGCAGCTCGAGCAGATACCTTCAGTGTTTCCTTTGCAGTGTCGTACGGGTCAGAGGCGTACGGGTCCAGTTTGGACAGGGTCACGTTGGGATAGCTGCAGAAAACAGCCTGTTAGCATGTGCAGGTGTTGCTCTGTGAGTCAGAAACCTCCACAACCCGTTCAGTCACTGATGGCTTCAGTGTTTCCTGACAGTGGTAATTCCTTACTTTTAATAAATGATCACAAAATCATCTTTCTCTTTAATTATTGCACACTGCTGATAGTACAACTATGTTAGCAAAATATGTCATCAACCATAAATGTTGAAACTTTCATGTAAAAAAAAACAACTGGCCTTGCGATCCATAGAGATTTAAAAAAATTGTATTCAAAACTATATAAACTGATTATCTGTGCTGCTGATTATCCATGCTGCTGATTATCTGTGCTGCTGATTATCCATGCTGCTGATTATCTGTGCTGCTGATTATCCATGCTGCTGATTATCTGTGCTGCTGATTATCCATGCTGCTGATTTCTTGCCTTTAAGATGCTGTATTCATATCCATCTGCTCACAACGACTCATGTTCAGGCTGCTGTTTAATACACCGTATTATTTAACATTATTAGTGTTAGCGCATATCTTTGCTCCTTGTATGCTGTTTCTTTTTATACTTTTTTTTTGTTGCTTTTTTTGGATGTAACTGGGACCTTGAGTACATAATTTCATTCCACCTCATGTACCACATGCGATGCAAATGACAATAAAGAACCCTGAACCTTGAACATTATACCAAATCCACTTATTACCCTGAATTAATCCACTCGGACAAACAATTTTAAACTTCTTTTTATTTCTTAACCAAACTTTCCAAACACAAGCATCTCTTCCACCTCATCTGCACTCTGCTGCTTTCTTTCTCTTTAGTGACAGAGTGTCATAAAATGAATTCACCTGCTCCTCAGTTCAAACCCTGACATTAATGCCTCCTCCCAGCTCTCTTTACAGCTCTCTCTTATCTGTGTTTCAGCTCTCCTTTTTCTCAGACGTCTCAGATTTCATCCTCCACTTGTCAGTTGGATCCTCTCCCTGCAGTTCTGGTAACATCCTGCCTCCCCTCCCTGTTCCTCCTCATCTCTTCATCCATTCTTCACTCACCACTGCTACATTTTCAAAACAGTTACCAGCACTCCATTATTATTAATTTTATTATTATTATTATTATTATTATTATTATTATTATTATTATTATGGTGTTGACTCAACTAACTTTAATAATCTCAGCCCAGTCTCGAATGTACTTTTTGGTCCAGGCTCTGGTTTTCTCTCCGTCCTCATTCTCCTTGATCTGAGCGTGGCCTTCAACTCCGTCTCTCACTCCATCCTTCTCCATAAACATCTGTCAGCGTCACTCTTAGCCCCCTGGACTGGTTTAAATCGTATGTTTCTGGTCGCACTCAGTTCGTTCAGCTTCAATTTGTTGCTTCCAAGCTATCCACTTTAACCACTGGTGTGCCACAGGGCTCTTTCCTGGGGCGTCTCCTCTTCATCATTTACCTCCTTCCCTTTGATTATATTATTTGAAAATACGACATCAGTTTTCATTAGTATGCAGATGACACCCAGCTGCACTTTTCCAGTAAACCCATTTCCATCGCCCACCCACGTCCCATACCAACTTACCAACTGCCTAATTGAACTTTTATCCTGGATTTCTTCAAACTGTCTCAAATTAAACTGGTAAAACTGAATTCCTCATTGTTGGAACAAAATCAACTTTATCCAAAACTGACACTTCTCCCATTTTTAGTGGACAAAACTTTGTTTCCTCACCCACTCAGGTTAAAGTCTGGGTGTCGTCCTGGACACTGTCATTTCAGTCCCACATCATTGTCACCTGGTCTGCATATTTTGGCTTCACAGCATTAATCGTCTCTGCCCCTCATACTACCGCTATACTTGTCCACAGTCTCGTTACGTCCCATACTGTAATGCTCTTCTTTTGGGCCTCCCTCACAAATCCCTTCATAACTTCAACTGATTCAGAACCCATCAGCCCACATCACCACCAGAACCCCCTCCTCCACATTACCCCTGTTCTGTACAAGTTTCACTGGTTACCAAACTTCACATTAATTTCAAAATGATTTTGCACATATTTAAAGCCATCCTTAATCTCCATATTTGTCTGACGTCCTTCACGTTGCCACCCTGTCCCATTCCCTTAGACCTGCCTCATCGTTACGCCTCACTGTTCCTGCCGCTCGCCTCACCAACATGTCACCCAGACCCAACAACACCCAGCTCTGGATCTCACCGTCACCACAACTCAGAAACTGGACTCTCGTTTTAAGGCCAGACACAAAACCCATCGTTCACGATTACCTATCCAAATGGATTATAATTCTTTTTGTCTTGTTCTTTTGCTGCCTTTTTGTATCTAGATGTTTTTATATGTATGTGTTGCTTGAAAGGTGCCTCTAAATAAAATGTATTATAAACTAGATGCACCTTGTTAAATATTAACCTTTGGAGTCAACCCTAATCAAGATGGCTGCCACAGCTAATTGAACTTAGTCTATACAAAAAAACAACAACACTACACCTCAACCAAGTTAATAAATATTCAACTAAATCTGGTGTGAGAGTAGCTGAGATTCACTCTCAACATGTTCTACGTTCAACCACATCTAACAAGATCTCACAATGTTGCCCACAACTGTCAGCATTTACAAAGTTCAACCAAAATCAGTTAAACTTTTTTATTTCTCAGCACAAGATGACAGCAGCCTAAACCTCCGGCAGCGGGCGATATGCATTCCTTCAGGAAGGCTAGGCCTTGAAGTTTTATGGGTCCATCAAAAGGCAGGTGTATCATGATGTAGTCTCAGTCTGTAAGTCCATAAACGTTCTCTTGCCCAGCCCAGAACCTCTGATCAGCCCAAGATAAATTAATGAAACTTCAGATGAATTGCACCACCAGTAGACGGTGTGTTGCATAATCATTTTGTTACATCCGCTCTTAAAACAAGTAAATATCAAGGTCATTGATCGCCCGGGTCACTGCTACAGATCGCTGTACAACAGTTTGTCCATGGACGTATAATGTGCTGTATATGGTACTCTTGTATGATTTACAGTTCTGAACTAGAAACTAACCAAAAAAGTGGATCAATAAATCATCTAGTTTAAATTCTGCACTCATTCAACTATAAAATTAACAGTTTTTATCACATGTGATTGACTGAGAGTAAACGAGAACAGGTAAACCTGTAACCGCTGCCTTTCTTGGGGGGTGAGGTAAGAATGTTGCGTCCAGATGAGCGATGAGTTTTCTGGGGGACTGACAGCACACTCAACGCTTGGATGGGTCCAGACAGAGTCCCGTAGTAACTTCCTGAACCACAGCTGAGAGCAGAAGAACTCATGAACCACAGAGAAACTGCACATATATACAGGCGCTGGTCATAAAATTAGAATATGATGAAAATGTTCATTTATTTCAGTAATTCCATTCAAAAAGTGAAACTTGTATATTATATTCATTCATTACACACAGACTGATATATTTCAAATGTTTATTTATTTTAATGTTGATGATTATAACTGACAACTAATGAAAACTCCAAATTCAGTATCTCAGAAAATTAAGACCAATTAAAAAAAAAAGAAGATTTTTAGAAATGTTGGCCAACTTTAAAGTATGAGCATGAAAAGTATGAGCATGTACAGCATCAGTACTTAGTTGTTGCTCCTTTTGTCTGGATTACTGCAGCAATGCATCGTGGCATGGAGTCGATCAGTCTGTGTCACTGCTCAGGTGTTCTGAGAGTCCATGTTGTTCTGATAGTGGCCTTCAGCTCTTCTGAGTTGTTGGGTCTGGTGTACCACATCTTCCTCTTCACAATACTTCATAGATTTTCTATGGAGTTAAGGTCAGGTGATTTTGCTGGCAAATTAAGAACAGGGATACCATGGTCCTTAAACCTGGTACTGGTAGCTTTGGCACTGTGTGCAGGTGCCAAGTCCTGTTGGAAAATGAAATCTGTATCTCCATAAAGTTGGTCAGCAGCAGGAAGCATGTAGTGCTCTAAAACTTCCTGGTAGACGGCTGTGTTGACCTTGGACCTCAGAAAACACAGTGGACCAACACCAGCAGATTAATTGGCACCCCAGACCATCACTGAGTGTGGAAACTTAACACTGGACCTCAAGCAACATGGATTCTGTGTCTCTCCTCTTTTCCTCCAGACTCTGGGACCTTGATTTCCAAAGGAAATTTGGACATGTCATCTGTTGGTGTTGGTCCACTGTGTTTTCTGAGGTCCAAGATCAACACCGCCATCTACCTGGTTTAAGGACCATGGTATCCCTGTTCTTAATTGGTCACCAAAATCGCCTGGCCTTAACTCCATAGAAAATCTATGAAGTATTTTGAGGAGGAAGATGTGATACACCAGACCCACCAACTCAGAAGAGCTGAAGGCCACTATCAGAACAACCTGGACTCTCATAACACCTGAGCAGTGAGACAGACTCATCGACTCCAGACCACGATGCATTGCTGCAGTAATCCAGACAAAAGGAGCAACAACTAAGTACTGATGCTGCCTATGCTCATACTTTTCATGTGCATACTTTAAAGTTGGCCAACATTTCTAAAAATCTTTTTCTTTTATTGGTCTTAAGAAATATTCTAATTTTCTGAGATACTGAATTTGGGATTTTCATTAGTTGTCAGTTATAATCATCAACATTAAAAGAAATAAACATTTGAGATATATCAACTATTTCATCTAATTTTATGACCAGCACTTGTATGCATATGTGTATTTATATGTATATATATATATATATATATATATAAATATGTGTGTGTGTGTATATATTTTTATATATATGTGTGTATGT